AGATGTGTGTATTCTTACTACGTAACACTGTACTACTATCCACCAATGATGATGAGAAAACTCATGTGACCCAAATAATTATCTAAAGCTGTATAAAATTAATTCATAAACAACGAGGAACATTAGCAGAAAGCGATACCACTTTATATATTTTGTTTGCTTACCTGGTCCAGGCGAGAATCCAAAGAGGAAAATGTACACAGAAACTATCGATAGATAAGGCCATACATCACCCTATATATGAAAAATTTAAACTATAAATATATGGGTGTTGGGATATTAAAAAAAAATATTTAAAAAAAATTATGTTCTTGTATTAACTTGTGTTCCTGTATCAATAATATAGATGATTATTATAGTTAGATGTACATACAATTAAACATACATGAATAATAGGGAAGTATATGGCACTGTAGATATGATATGATATAACGTTTATTCAGAATTTTCAACGATTATATTATTGTTATTGTAAATGCTTCTGGGATTTTTCCTTTTCTTTGACTGCTAAACTATTGTAATATTATTTATGATTATTGTATGATTTTATTAATTGATGTTCAACGAAAATAAAAGAAATTGTCAATGTCATTTCATTGTAATATGTCCTGTGTATTATCATTATTGTAATAATTATGTATTTTACATATGCATTCCAAGTATCGTACTTAATGAATTTTGATATTATTTCTACGTGCAAAATACTATGCAGACGACATATTTCCTTACATTTGCTGTCATTGACACTGTCAAGAAGACAGTTGCCGCTGCCATCACCGAGTATGATAAAAGCAAGAAGAATCGTCTTCCTAATTTGTCCACAAAGAAAATCTGAAGAAAAAAAACAAAACAATATTATGCTGTATGCCTTAATATGCTTAAGGCCGAACTATGAATGTAAAAAATAAGAGTTAATCACCCTTTAAAAAAAAAGTGGGTAGGGAGGGAGGTTTGTATTTTTCTTTTTCTTTTTTTTTAATCTGGAATGAAACCACCCCATTGATACATGCCAAGTCTTCGAATCCTTCATGGAGTGCAAGAGCTCATGTAAGTGGTTGTTGACTTTGACGAATCTTCCAGTGTAGTGTTTGATCAGATGAAATTTATACGACAAATGAAAGACAAATAATTACAAATAAAAAAAGCCTAGGCCTAGTCGAAGTTGAATTATGGGCGGAAGACGGAAAAAAAAATGGTCGGGTGATTTTTTTATGTAGGGGGGAGTGATCGATCAACAAGTTATTTTTTTACATGGCCAAAGTAGATCAGGTATAACAATCATTATGCTAAATATTACTTTCTGCTTTGTGAGACACATTACGTGATGAATTGTGTACTGTATTATATTTGATGATAAATAATGGTTAAATAGATGTTATTTTCATCTCATGTTCAGTATTTACCCAGCGCTTTAAGTTTTAATAGTCAATTGACATGGTGTGACAGGGAACCGTAACATGCAGCGCCACTTACCGTTATGACGTCAGTTATAACAATCACAAGACCTGTACCGCAAGTCGCAACCTTGACGACTTCTTTACTTAAACTCGCTTGAATAAAGAGTTCTGTTGTGTAATACATTACCTAATAAAACAAATTCAGTGGATACATTATTAGTTCGCATAAAGATACTATTATGACTTAGTAAGATTTTATAGCATATAAACGTGGATGCTGGATCAGAATGCAACATTCAGGTGTACCCTGGTGGAAATAAATAATTCATATGATTCATGTTGACAGACAGATCAAAAAATTTATTATACTGTATATATATTGACGTTTTTAATAACTAGTAGAATCAACATTAATTGGTGTACCATGGAGGAGATAACCTCTGTAATTTCTTTATCCTAATTTATATCCTCCATGGCGGCAGTAGGCCTACGTAAGACCTTGTTTGGGATCATTTTTGCAATCTGTTCTTGAACTTAAATTTTTTTCATAAAATGTATATAAAATTTATAATTTTTAATGAATATTTGAAATAGTTTTGTGATGATCTTAATGATGATGGAAATAATATTAATAATAATATTAATAATAATAATAATAATAATAGGCCTAATAATAAGAATACTAATATAATTAATACTTTTTAATGTTGTCTTTTTTGTGAGATTCATGTTCTTTTTTATGTGAGAATGTCACTTTTTTAAGATTTTACTGTTTTTACTATCGAAGTTTATTATGTGTCTTCTCATTTTATCTGATTGTATATTTATAAACTTATAATTATTTATACATTTATATTGGATAGAATTAAAATGAATTGAATTCCATTTTAAATTATTATTACATGAACACATTAATTACAGATATTTAACATTATATTTCGTAAATATTACTCACAGCATTTATTCCAGCAAGCTGCTGACTGGAATGGAGTACTATAGATATGATCAAAGGCCATTTCCACATTGGATCTTTCAAAGTTATTACATCCAATATCCCTACTCGACTTGCCGACAATTCCTGCCTTCGTTCATATAACATCTCAGCTATTTCAACTTCAACATCTCCAGTAGCTCGAAGACGTTTTAAAGCTAAAAAACGTCAAAAAAAGGCCTAGATTACTTTTTAAAAATTATATAAAACATTATGACTAATGGAAAAAATACTCCACCTCAGTTATTGTAAGTAGTACATCGTTTCTGCTTATCTTGTGAAAGAATTATTGAGCTTTTAAAATTAGAAAAAAAAAATTATAAATATTGTTCAAAATTATCATATTCAGATGATGAGCTATCACTCACAAAATCTTAAATAAAGATTCAATACTAAAAGTTGCAATGGGCCAAATATCATTGGTTTTCATAGGCATTCACATTAAGTATTTATAAGGGCTAGTATAGGAATTGCAAACAAATTCTGAGTTGTGCATGCATAATTTACACCAACACCCATCAGTATACAAATATATATCACACAACCAACCACAGCGGTTAATGGTCCGCTTTTAGTAGTGACCGGTAGGTCTGAGTATTTAAAAGATTAACACATTAAATGGTAGCTTACTTACATTCTCTTGCTCTGTATCTGTTTTCATTGTCCTGGAGAAGAGCCTCAGATTCTAGTCATAATAGAGATTTTGTTAATATATAATACAATAACATGATATAATAATAATATAATAATATGATATAATAATAATATAATAATGATATAATAATATAATAATGATATAATAATAATATAATAATAATGTATAATAATAATATATCTTGAGGATATTTCCCGCACGATTAAAATCGTAACGGTACTGGATATTGAAGATATTTCCCGCACGATTAAAATTGTAACGGTATACTAAATGAGCATATAACTACAGCGCTGCCAGACGGTCGGAACCTTCCATTGCACAGTTCACAGTGCACTCAACCACCAGCAAGCAGGATTATGATCTTGAGGATATTTCCCGCACGATTAAAATTGTAACGGTACTGAGTTTGGTCTACAGGAGTTCGTGTTTCGTACAGGTCATTCTATTCATAGAAAAAACCTTTATATTGGAGAAAGCGTACCTATCGTTAGCCATAGTAGAGGTCAATACTAACTCCTGCTGTATAAAATTGATTATAAGATTGAAAAATATTAATCTTATTATTACAGCAGTGATACTATGTACACGTTTTAATTATAGTTATTTATTCGTTACGCTTCTTATAATAATAGGCCTACAGTATGCAATATAAATAACAATAATTATAAATTATTTTACAGGTACCATCCTATTCTATAGCTTTATATATGATTATACTATTATGTACAATTGTAAAGTAAAACTCATTGTATGAGAAAACAAGAAACAAGAAACATATTAAATAGTGTTATACCTCCTACATGCTGGGTGGTGGAGGATCTTATAAGATACCACCTTGGACTTTCTGGACAGCATACTAACACACTACAGCCAATTAAACTGAAGACGCCGGTCATAGCAAGCAGTATTGGCCAAAGCTCTTGCGTATAAAGCGGATAGAGTCCAAGGAGCTATTTCGATATTGTAACAAAATTTATATTAAATAATTTGTATATAATATGATGCTAACATTAAGAATACTAACAGTAATAATCGCTATAACACTAATTAGTATTGCAACTTTTACAGTAACAATACATCATAAGTGATAACAATGATAACTACTATACTGTCATTAGGCCTGTTTTAAATGTTTGAACAATAATATAATTAATAATAATATTTGCATTTGTAATAATATTAAATATTATTGATTACAAGAAAAACAATAATTTAAAGAAATTTACACCTATATAACAATAATATAGTTATTACTTAAGACTATTACTAATAATATGACTTATTATTAATTTCATTATTATTTACGCTACATGTAGACTAAATTTCAATTACCGGGTGAATTTTACCTGTGCTACTAGAATGCCAAGGGATACGCCTAGCTGGTGGATTGCCGCTACACCTCCACGGAACCGTACAGGCGAAATCTCGGACAAGTAAAGTGGCGTGGTAACCAGAACAATTCCTATATGTTATTAAAGCTGGAACTGGTTACAATTATCAAAATATTTATAAGTAATGAAAATTATAGATAATGATCAGTAGCAATACAGTAATGTAATACTAAATTAATAAGTTATAATACTACGGCAATAATAAGAATGATATTTGCCCTACCTGACGTGTTATCGTACTGAATGCTCAGATATATGTTCCCAGATGCCTGTGACAAAAAGAGATTCGGGTAAGAATCGAGCCCAAAACCTCCTGATAAAAAGCATGGTGTCTTAACCACTCAACCAAAAAGCTTTCGCAAGTATTTGGGAACGTACCGAGCATTCAGTATATAGTATAACACGTCAGTTTGGGCAAACATCAATAGTATTATAATTTAGTGTTTGTTTAGCTCTTTCTTTTTCATACTAATTTTGTGTTTTGTCTCATGACAAGGTATTCATACCTTTTGAAGGAATTTTGAATAAAAACGTTACACAATACTGTAATACTAATTATAATTTCTCCTGACGAGGCTGTCATTAATTTATTTATTATAAATTTATATTGTTTTATACTCTTACCCCCAGCAACACCGATTATGAATCTTCCTGCGATGACCAATTGGTAAACATTTATTAATTGACTAATCCCCATCAAAACAGATGCCAATACTGCAATAGCACATGTCATGAGTAACGCTCCTCGCCTATATATAATACAGTATTGAATCCATTTTACCATTTGAACTATAAACGTCCTCCGAGTATAATGATATAGCACAATTTTTATTAGTCTAATTATACGTTTTATGTAGTCGGTTGAAAGTTAAATGCGAAAACTTTACACTAGTAAATTTAACAACTTCATTTCGTAAAATAAATATGTAAATAATTACCTGCCGTAGACGTCAGATATATATGTAGATCCCAATGCTCCCAGAGACCCTCCGATACAAAATATGGCGATGGTGAAAGCCCAAAGCCATAAAGAGTGACCCTCTGATAAATAAAGTCCATGTTGATCATAGTAGGACAGGTTGTAAAATGTCTGTATGAACTTGATTAAAATAAATATAAGTATTGTGTTTATTCAAAAGGAAAAGTCTTTATTGTGTAACCAGCAAGGAATATACATTGAATGATTTTTAATATAATAATAATTATGTTTGTAATGGTAGTGGTAGAAGTAATAATATGCCTACTAATGATTTAATATAAACTTCCACACCATATAAAAACTTACTGCCGACGGCCCCGTCATTACACTGATATTGTACCCAACGAGAAACGATGTGCCTAGACTTGCCGCTAAGGCTGACGTTAGCAGACAACTGGTTATTCGACATGTCTAGAAGTTCATAATAATATGTAAATACGAAAATACAAAGTAGAGCTGCTAATACAGAATTGGAAGTTGATAAGACTAATAAATAATAATTATTATTAATAAATTGTCACAACCGTGGAGCACTATCAGCCGTTACTTTCGGTCTATTATGGCCGCCTATACACTTATATACAGTATACATGGAGCTTTAAATAGAGAGTTTAAAACGTTTTGTGTTGAGCTAGTGATGCTGCTTCGAAGAAGGTCAATGTTGAAAACCCCATGATATAATTAAACTGATTTTCTTTACATAGATTTGCAAGTAATATATCAACCTGATTGCAAAAGGTTTAGAGCTTACATCTGGTGGTTTATAAACAACTCCAGGTAAGACATTCTTTCCTTGATTTTGAATAATTTCAATAAATATTGAGTCACAAGAAGCAGTTGTTAGGGAGAGGTCACTTTAAATAAAAGAGCGTGAAGTATTTATATACAATGCGACAACACCCCACCCCCAGACCTGCCTACCTATTTTCACATAAAATTGTATAATTGGGTATTATTTAGTAAGCCACTATTCTCATTAAACCATGTTTCCGATATTCCAATAATATCAAACTAAAATGGAAGATCACAATAAATTCCATGATCTTGCGTTAAAATGGATAAACTAGAGAAGCTTTATATAAAGATTGTGTAGTTTTGGTCAGGATCAAGATCTCAGTACTCGGCAAAATTGTTTATATTAAATAGTAAATTGAGGTGTACTTTGTCGATTTCGCTTTAATTAAATAATATTATTGTTATTAATTTGTAGTTCAAAAATTGCTTCTTCAAAATCCAAAATACTAAGGTGATTAAAAGGCAATATATGATGTGAAGATGACTTGCAGTCTAAAAATACGCTGTCCCAATCGTGAGTGACACACATCAAATTTGTACTGAGAGTCATCTTTTCTGGAGATGTGCAGCAGGAGAGAAACTAGTGGACAAGCCATGCTATTTTATGTTTAAATCGACATACATGTACAATGAAAATTTAAAGTTAAGAATTAAGGGAATTTGGAAGCGATGAAATCCGACAACTTGACATTAATACTTTTAGACAGCGTGTTCTCTAGATCTCCTGGCTTTGTAACAGGCTATGGAAAGGTTTACGCACATTTAGGATTCAAAGCTCGCTACAGTGTTTTCAGTAGGAGACTGCGCAGCTGGCATTCTAAGAAGGCATAGAAATAGTGTTTAAATGTAAGTCAACAAAATTCCACGCCAGGTCGTACTAAATCGCTTTAAAATTATCACCAGGACACTAACTTACCTCCTCAGCCGGTGATGTTGGTTGCCTCATTTCTGGGTTGCCGTCGTACATAATCTCATTCGACATCTTGAAAAGCAAATACAGTAAGTACCAAATGTAGCCTAGCTTTTAGGTCTAGCTAACAGTTAAATCTGTAAACATTGTACGAGCTCCTTTTTGCCGTATGATAGATTAACACAATCTCTTTTATAGTTCTCTGATCAAATCAATTAGTAGGCCTAATTATTTTTGCTGGTATTTATATCTTAATAAATCAATACGCTAATAACAAAATACAGCACACTTTGTCATCCTATACAAAGGCACTTTACCTCGAACATGAAATTTTGCCGCATCAAGTGCTCAATTTAGTTGCTTTAGGATTCCCTGCTCATCGTCATTCTATTATTTTATTCTCCTTAATTTCGGTATTAACATGGACAGTGTTCTTAAAGATCATGTTCCACCTAATTTTCAACTACATTCTCTAGTCTCATCGACTTTGTGTGCCATTGTAGTGGCGGACCCAGGATACTGAAATATAGAGGGCCGGGGCCAGAGAGGGACTGAGGTAAGAAAATTCATGATAATGGCCAGAAGTTAAGTAAAACTTACAATTGAATACTATATATATATTTTTTTTCTGGAAAAATGTA